GAAAAGCTTTTTGGTATTTGGTAAATAGATTTTTAAAATCTGGTGACTGACTCTGCATTCTTAAAAATAGGGCTTCAAAGCAAACTGTGCTGGAATTAGTTTCCTATCACCCCATCGAATACATTTCATTTAGATTTACACAGGTGAATGAGAATGTGATATAAAGGCATTGCTAATCCCTTCAAGGAAGATGCAGTTCCATGGGAGATCAGAACCCGAACCACACAACTCCTGCAACATGCCACGAGCAGGTTAAAGAGCACATCCTCCTTACAGTCTCAGAAACCCACGGGGGAGGGGGGGGTTCTACCCTGTCTTAAAGGGTCACTATGAGTCAGCATCAATTTGACAGCAGTGAGTTTGGTAGAAGTTACTGTAAGTCAAAAGAGGGTAGATTTGCTTCCTAAAATCTTTCAAGTCAAATTTCTAAATTGTCTCTAGAAATTTTAACCCCAGAATATCAAGTCAAAATGAGGAGTCCCATTAGACCAGTGAGAATGAGTGGAAAGAACTTTGAGCTGTTGCGTGGCTGGGAAAGTAGATCTTGTTGATTGTCTTCAGGCTCTCTTAACGTGCTACCGATTGTAAAGTCAAAGGACACTTTCCATGCCACCCTAGATCCAAATAGCCAAAACCAACACTGAACAATAGAGGTTCTGGGAGAGGAGAGATTGAGAAAGGGCTAGGAGTGGACAACAAGTGGAATAGCAAGCATAAACATTAGCAATAATGCAAAAAGTAAACATTATGGCCCAAAATAAAGGTGAACAGATATTTCTAAACATGAGAGAGAGACAGGTCTCATTCAGACACAGAGCTCATTCACTGATTATGTACATTAGACACTTGGGTCAAGGCCAATTGACTGCTCATCAAGTTTAATCATATTGAATAGTCAGTAACTTCAGTGTGTTTCATATAATCCATTAAAAACCATTTCTAGAAATTTTCAAGACAGAACAACTTCAAGGAATGAAAACACAAGTTATTCACAGAAGCTGGGTAGTCATGACCATGACTTTTAAGCCAGACCAAAAAACCCATCTCACCTCACCACCATCAAATTGATCCCAACACATAGGACAGTATAGAACTGCCCCTGTGCGTTTCTGAGAGTTTATGTCTGGGTAAAGTTCACCTTGGAAAGAGCAATGGACGAGGTAACTCATCACTCTCACTCAGCAATTGAAAGACATTAACTTCCTTCTTGCTTGTTACGTTCCTAGAATTTGCCATCTCTGTCAAGATTAGCACTGTTCTTATAAGCACAGGCGCGCTAACCGATTGCACCACTGGAGCTTTTACTATTCTTAACTCTGTCAAGATTAACACTTAACAAGAAGACAGTGTGGAACAGTGTGGAGAACAAGAGCCAGGAGGCAGACGGTGTGCATGGAATCCCGCTCTCTCCCACTTTAGCTGTATGACTTTGAACAGTTGTTGCATCTGAAACAGAAATAACAACGACAGACTTTTAAGGTTATTGTGAAGAAGAAAATAGATTATGAATGGAGCTCTAAAAAGCATCAACAAAAGATAGCTGTTATTATTCCAGAAGAGTGTATATGAGAATTGCAGCACATGTTGAGAGTTGGTAGCTAGTAGGCTTGACTCCAAGGTACTCAGCTCTGATTAGCTCAGTGGGATGCTTTTAGAGAGGCCACGTGACTAAAATGTGACAAAATAGGTAAGAGTCGATAAGATATAAGGTTTCTCCTCAGTTAGACAGAAAGTCAATTCTATGCCACGATTGCTTCGTTATTTGGGGGGTGGAATAATGTTCAAGATATGCCACCCCAATATATCCTGAGTATAGAAAGTTTTAATCATTTGCCATTGGACAGAGTCCAGAACTGTTGGGGTGGAGTTGTGGCAAATAGACACCTACTGTCGACCCTGCTCTCAGTACCAAACAGAGTCAAGGTCCCAGGTCACCCAGAAAGATCCAGCTCACACAGAACAATACTTTCCTCACATAGAGGAGCAACAGAGCAAGGTGAGGTTTAATAATGAGTGTTTATCTCCCATGACCACAGTTCTCATTCCATGGTTGGCACAAGACCAAAGGTCTTCGCGAAACTCCATTCCCTTCCTGCTAGGAACAGATACAGCACTGGGGTTGACCAGGTGCCAGAAAGGGAAAGCAGAAAAATGAAGAAGTGCCTAGAATAAGGAGAGCTTTTTTTTTTTCTTCCCTTAATAAGAAAGAGGAAACGGGGGCAGAGGGAGGCTCCATTCCCAGCCCACCTTATCAGTGAATGTTCCAGGCCTAACACTGGACTAGGTGGTCCAGTTGGGGATGAGAAACAGTCGATAAACGCCTTCCTCACATTACCAGCACTTACCAACGACAAGCCTCCCTGGATGCCCAGCCAGAGTCTCTCAGAAACGAAATCAGAGAACTTATTTTTAACCTTCTAACTATCCCCATGGGAAACCCAGCCTTTCTAGCCAGACGCCAGTTGCCTCTATGAGAATAAACTTGTTTCTAGATTTAATCATTTCAATTTTTTGCTAAAAAAAAAAGTTTGACCTTTATCTGTAAATATTCTTAATTTTCTAAAAATGAATCATCTAATGAACAACCCAAAAAATTAGCATCTAGATTATAAATGGATTAGTTGAGTTCCCTCAGGAATGTGACCATCTGCATTTGATAGCAAGTCATTTTCTGAGTGCAAAGTGAAAAGCTTTTTGGTATTTGGTAAATAGATTTTTAAAATCTGGTGACTGACTCTGCATTCTTAAAAATAGGGCTTCAAAGCAAACTGTGCTGGAATTAGTTTCCTATCACCCCATCGAATACATTTCATTTAGATTTACACAGGTGAATGAGAATGTGATATAAAGGCATTGCTAATCCCTTCAAGGAAGATGCAGTTCCATGGGAGATCAGAACCCGAACCACACAACTCCTGCAACATGCCACGAGCAGGTTAAAGAGCACATCCTCCCCATGCAGGGCCTCTTTCAACTTGCCTTGACAGTGAGCTGACACAGATGAGGGGATTTAAGAAAAGTAACTCTATGGGAGAAATAGACGGAGAAATCCTCCTTTCTTTCCACTCCTTTTTTCCCCAGGAACTTTTTGAAGGCCCCCCCCCCATGAAAGTGCATCCAGTCCCTGAGAATTTGAAAGTTGAGGATCAAATATTGACCCCCTTTCTGTGTCATATTTGTTTTGAAGGCCCCCAAAGGGACACTTGCCCAGCATTCTGCCTATCTCATTTGGAACTCTTGGACTGAGATGGTCTGATCCAGAATTTGAAAACCTGGGTTTGGGGAATGGCTGACGTCATGTAGAACTTGGGGCAGCAAATCTCATAAGCCACCCAGAGCCGGTTGAAGTCCCTGTCTCTTCCCTCACTAGCTGGGTAGCATAAGGCCACCTACTTTCCATTTCTCCTCTACAAATTGACACGTGGGACATGGGTAGAGTCCTTGTTTTCCATGGGGGAGCCTAAGTTGGACTCTAGCCAACTCACCTCATGTGCCGCCATGCATGTGTCTGTGGCGTCTTGTGTATTGCCATGATACTGAATTGATTTCAGTAGAGCTTCCAACTCACATGGACCAGCCAATGAGAAGTCTTCAGATCACAACCAGCTGATCCTCAACTGATCGTGGAGCTGGTGCTGGACTGGGCAGTATTTCATGCCATTGTGCCTGGAGGCTGGCTCACAGCAGCTGACAGCTACTACCATAAAACAGGCGCAATGCTAGTTCCTACATCAAATAGTTGCTAAGAGTTCAATACAATTGTGCATGGAAGCACTGAATGCAGTATATTCAAGCATATAATTGAACATTCATTAGTAATATCTACTGTTTATTATAGTTGGTAGTTCCTCCGAATATTGATTTTGGGACACAGGAGGTAGAGGGTAGCATTGAGTGTTGAACGCCTTCTTCATTCCATTCTGCCCGCACTGCAGAGTATAAGATCCTCTGTAGAATCCTTCACAGTGGAAATTGTCTTGCTTCTTCTGTATCCCCTGAGCTGCTGCAGGAGAGTTAATAGCTTTCTGTTGTTAGGCCTACTGTTTGCTTGATTGAGACCCTGCAGGCTCAGCATTGTACCCTCGCCCCAGGATTTTACTTACATTTCACAGTTTAGGATCTCTCTGAGTCACTTGCATTAAATGGCCTTGATACAAGCCCAAGGCCAAACATGGAAGAGTCATTTGAAGCAATACTAACATGAAACTAGTTCCTTGTGGAGGACATTGTCCATTTGGTTGACAAGCACCCCATCTTGAAAAGATAACATGTCTAATTTATTTCGCAATTCAGTACTTGGTAAAATGTATCCCCACCCTCCCAGAACCAATAAACATGCTTCCACCTTTTTGCCAACAAGGACTGTGTGCCTTACACTTCTCTTTGGCAAATCCTGAAAACCCAGAGCCAGACAGGAGATAGAGGCACAGTAACCATAATAACCTGTTGCAAGAGCAAGTTCTTTCTAATTCTCCCCCTTGATTAAACTTTAGGCTCA